AGCCATAGTGAGTCTAACGAATAATCATCATCCTATAATCAATTTCTCGGTTTGATGCCCATTCCAATCAATCCATACATTATTCCAGATTCAATTTATAAGCGAATAAACTATTCTAACTATCTTCATTTTAGCTAACACCCACTGTACAACAGTCAAATGTCGCCATCTTGAATAAGTCAAAGTTAGTGTAATGTAACAAATAGACATGATACTATAATTATATACTATAATCAATTCATCGGCTTGAAGGCCAGCCAAATTCAATTTATAAGCGAACTATTCCAACTATTTTCATTTTAGCTAACACCTTATATACAAGAGTCAATGTCGCCATTTTGAATAGTCAAAGTTACTGTAACTAATGGACACGATCCTATAATCAATTTCTAGGCTTGATAGCCAATTCAACCAATCTGTACACCATCTCACATTCAATGTAAAGAAATAGCCATTAATTGATTATATAACTTTCCACTTTGCTATCGTTTCTGTTACTTTCTATTTCAACAAATCTTCCCTATCGATATTATAGGAAGTCAAAATTTTGATCTGCTCTAAAATAGTAGTCATCAAAACTCTTCATGAATATTGAGAAAATAAAAACTTGAATATTTTCTTCATCAAGAGAAAGAGATAACTATTTCAAGGCGGACAAATATTATGGTGGTGTGCACCCTTTGCTTTGAACTCGATCTAGTGGGGCGATTAGGCGAAAGATGGGTTCCCATTTCACTTTAGCCTATTTTATCCATTTAAGAGAAGCAATTTGAAAGGATGCTCTTGAATTTATCGGTCTACTGTTGTTCTTTTGCATCAAATAAAAAACATGCTTAATATCGCTCTAACTCAAGACCTCAGAAACTATATTATAATACCATTAGAATAAATCGGCATATAAAATAAATAGACAGAAGTAAGTGTATGCATATAATTGCTGTAAACAAGAATAGAAAAGAGCTAAAAAACATTTTAATCTCCTCCAACCTTCCATTTTGATGATTGATTGTCGATAGATAATGCAATGGTTGATAGTGTAGAAGCCAAAAGGTAAAAAGGCCAAAAATGAGCGATAAAATGCCAATTCAAAACTTTTATCAATCACTTCAAGTAAGGTAGCAGAAGATAAGATATCATCGATTGGACAATAAAATAGTAGATTACCTAGAATCTAGACAATATATATATCAATAATTTTAAGTTACTTTGCATTTGGTATGATTGAATTTATTCTATAGAATCATGCATCATAAACACGTTAAGTTGCTTGAAAGCTATCAATAATTAAAGTTAACATAATATAATGGTCGCCAAGAATACTATTATATCCATTCTATATAGCTAACATCAAGTTATTAATGATTGCTGATTAAGAAAGGCTTGACCATTTAAGATATATACAGGTGCATTTTTTAATTTTATTTTTCAATCACAATACTTATTATCACGTTGATAAAATAACCAAAGCTTAACCCTATTATCGTTATCGAATTGAATATCAACATAGCTGCAACAATTAAAGTCATTATAACAAAACACTTTTCCATCTCCATTAAAAGATAGACAATAGCTATGCAGAATGTCTTGATGAATATTATATAGTCAAATGATAGTGTTATGATCCAATTCACTCACTTTTCATCTGGTTTAGTCCATGAAATTTTTAATTTAAAATTAAAATAAAAAGGAAAGAATAACAGACAGCTACAAGGTAATTCAAGGACAAAAATGCAGTCAAGATTTTGAATACAGTCACGCTCAATCAAGATGAATACTATATTGTACAGATTTAAATCAATAAATGCTGTATTGGTTAATTTGCTACTCTATACCATGGCTGATGGAATAGCAAATTAATAAAAATCTTCAACCATAAAATGTATTAAAAATACTTACAAAACAAAGGATAGACTATACATAGCAATAAAAAAACTCTTTTCAATCATGTAGCCAAAAGTCGTCCATTTGAATATTCAATTCCATATTATTTTTGCTTTGTTTCATTTCTCACGAATTATTAATGTAATACTTCCTTTATTCTGGATAGGATTTAATTTAAAAGATGAAAGCACAGACAATTTTCGTGAGAATTCACCAAAATCTCCTTTAAATTAAAATTTTTCACCATGTCTCTAGAGGGTTAGCAACTCTTAATGAACATGCAATAACTCAGATTTTAATATCGTTGTTAAAATGAATTACTATTGTAAAATAGAGTAATATAATAAACGAAATGACTCATTCTATACAATATAGGCTACCCTATTTCATGGAATAAACTGAGTTAATGTAACTATGATGTCTTATTAATTCATCCTTCAGACAAGGTAAAATGAAAAGAATTATTTTCTTTTCACTTTTGGATCAAGGAAGAGCCGGATGGTATATAAAATATTATTATTAATTTTTCTTTATTAATTCGTTGGCCGTATCCTTTCTTGAGATATTGATATCCATTAACGTATACTATCTACTATCCCTTATTAATTATTGACTCTCGAATTGATTATTTTGATTAAAGAGAGAACTTACCATATGCAGATACTATTCCTATTCAGCAACATTTACTTAAAGAATCATCAAGACAATTTACACCTTCAATTGAATAGTTCAATTTGCACCATGCAGACGTTTTATCTTTTAACCGAGATATTGTTCTATTTTTATTTCTTTCTAGTATTAGTCGCATTAAATGTAAAATTCTTTTCATTTAAATATAATCTAAACGACATCATTTTAAATAAAGATAATCGCGGTACCATGCTATTATTTACTATCTATCTTTCATTATTAAACCGGAAATTTAAGCAATAACTTCATTACTATTTGTAGACAGATGTGCAAGTCTTCTGTCGTGGGCCTTATAATACACTTGGAATAATTAGCTAGAGATAGCCTACTTAGTTTATTAAAGTTAGAAACAATCATGAAGACCCAATTAATCAAACTTGAGGCATAATTGTTAAATTACTAAAAATCTATATTGCTCGACTAGTTTCGCAATTAGAGTCGGATTTACTAGCCAATACAGACTAGGCTTTGTAATTATATAAATATATCAATCGCTTTGATAACAGCAGCTGGATGGATTAAAGATTTGCAGCTTTACATAAAAGATTGATATCAGTCAATGATTGAGTAGAAATATATTTTGGATACAATCATACTTCTTGTCCGCGGCTTCAATAACAGTAGCCGGGTAAAAATGTAACTCTAACTCTGAAATAAGCTTTAAAATTAATTGATATGCAGTTTTAACATAATCATGCATAATATTTATAACTATATTAATGGCCATAGGTACATCAAAAGTCGAAACTTACTAAATTTGAAACCGATCTTTAGTTCTCTGAAAGAATAAAAACTTTAGCATTTCCAAAATATCATAATTACACATTTACAGATTTAATCATAGTAACTGCGGTAGATAGATTCCAGCTGTTAGTTTATAAATCAAATTTAACCTGATGAACGACATCGTTTTAACGATCTAAATAAGACTTTTTATTCTTTCATTCCGTTAGCAATAAGTCCTTTGATATAGGCATTGTGATTCTACGGCTATACAACTTCACTCAAAGCAATATTTAATGCAGTTCCCACCTAATATTCTTCGTAATAAATGAAAATCCGTCGCAGTCTTAAGTTTATGGCTGTAGCAATAGTATCTAAAATAGGATACAAACCTACATTTTAATGTATAAGAGTACGCGCCTTGAATTCAATTTGGATCTGCTACAAAATACAATTTTAACAATTTCAAATAAATTCCTATACACTTTATAGTGTTATACGAGCTGGGATATGTGTTTTGTAAGGCCTTAAACCAATATTTGATCTTTAGTAAAAAATCGATAACTTTGATCATTACTGAAAGAAATTGTCATCCTAAATCTACAGTATAACTTCAGCAATGATTGCCAGATTCGTTACAAGTTGACCGCTTGAAAAGCTTTATCATCTTTAGTCGATTTTTTTGGAAAATATATTTATGACAATCAGAATTAGTCGTGTAACGCTTTCATTAATTCGGTATTAGTAGTAATAATTCAATGGAACAATTAGTAATTACATTTAGTTTACTAACTTTTAAAGTTAATATTTTGGCTTTGTAAAAGACAGACTTAACTTGAGTAAAGACATTAATATTACTCGTGAGCTAAGAAAATTTGCTACCATAAAATAGGGCAATAGCTTTACAACTAATCGAATCAATATCTGATTTAATATGTCAAAGTATAGATCCAGAAGCTAAAATCAACATTTGATAATATTGGAAACTTTAGTATTCCAAATTTAAAAATTAATATACCTTGAATTCAAGGCGATACATAGTTTAACGTAATTAATTAACTATCTCGACCCATGCATGATAAGATCCTTTCTAGGGATCTAGACATTGCAGTAGATTGGGTATATCTAATCTGTGTTATCTCTCCCTATACGCGCATTGACAATATTGCCAAGGTAATGGCCTGCCACAAGAATGAAATAAATTCTTTCCATCTTTATTTTTTCGATATTGGAGGAAAATATCCGATTATATAGGATACCAAACATTTGAATAAATTTACGACAGTTTACTGTACAAAGCGTGTTATAATTTGTATTTCGATTCAAGCCGTAGAAGCATTTAAATGCAACATCATTAATTTAGTTTTAATAATGGTTCGGTTAATCGTGGGGTAAATGAAATTCTACTATAGAAAACTAGCTTTGTGATATGACCTCTAGGATTGAAAAATTTATAGTTCATAATTCTTACTACCGTAACATGTAATAAATACAAAAAATGAAAAGAGACTTATTTACTGAAATCTAAATAACTAAATGTTTGCTTAAATAATCAAATTGATGTATTTTAATCCTATCGGTTTATATCAAAGGTCTAATTCATTAAAGATCTTCGATATTTCGACTTTACTAGCTATAAATCGTAAAAAATATGTTCTTACTCTACAGTTTGTACGTAAGCCATATACATAGTCCATTAATCTGACTTATTCATGATTGTCCATTAATCGAGACGAGCCAGGTCCGCCATTTTTTGAGGAGCAGAAATTTCCTGGCTTTCCTCTCAATATAATGCCCAACAAAGCGGCTACAAGTAGAGCAATAACCACCCCTTCTATAATAATTCCAATAATTAGTCCTGACTGATTGGGTTTGCTTGGATTTGTCGTGGTGCTATTATCGATGGCTAAGCGGCAATGAAAATTATTGGGATTTTTTGTGCATAAATGGTGTAGAACTGATCTGTTAATAGCGAAAAAATAAAACTTCTTTTTAGTATTAACTGTAACGCTTTAATAAACTTAGCTTATGATATTTGCATCAATCTTAAAAGAGGATATGATTAGTGATCAAACTTGTCAAGTATTTATCCCATTAATAGATACAAATAGGGGAAATTGTAAAACTGTGATTATTTATCTATACTAACTGTGACCATATGGACATTCGTCTAGGTTTAAATATCGAAATTAGTGGAAGTAGCACATTTAAAGTTGGCAGGAATAAACGTAAGTATGATCAAGTTATATGTCATTCCTTTCACTAATTCTAGTAAGCTATAATGTATAATTGATGCGATTCAGCAGTTCTTGTACACAATCATTGGGTCGTAATTACGCTAGACATACAAGTAGCCGAATCACTACTATACGGATTTTACTTAAAATAATAACCAGCCCTATAAAAATTCTTTTAACTAAAAGTCGTAGGAAATTCTGTTTTACTTCGAATCTTTTACGATTGATATTGGCGGTGTTGAAGAAAATTAGAAGCAAGTTCGTTATACTTACTTTGGATTATCTTGGCAACTCCAAGTAAAATTATGGCTTGTAAGGATGTTTTGTAGCTCCTTTATTGAACCTATACCGCATCGATCACTAAAGAAACGAAATAAATTTAATGACGATCATTTTTTTATTGTACTTGAGCAGTACAGAAACAAAATAATCTATCCACGTTTACAAATTTATAAGTAGTGCTTAAACCACTCTATAAGAGAAAGACGAAGAAACAATATTTCAGACCGTTGTACTAACTCCTTCTAGCTAGCTCGAACATTGCTGCCCACGAATATTAGCAGACACTCTGATAGTCATATATTAGTTAATTCAGCTATAGTAGATTATTCATATAAATAAAAGCAATTCTACGACAACAGCCGATCAAATCTTAGCTGCTACGTTGTTCTTAGTGAAACCCCAAGTTATAATAACATTTAAAATAAAAATTACTCCCGGAATTAATATTTCTATATCACATGTTCTATCATTAATCTAAGGAATTAAGATGAACTCGAACTGAATATGGAGATCGTATCAAATCGATTCTACGTACTTGCTTAATATAAGTTATAATTCTACAATTTATACATTACATTTGATTAGGTTTACTGTTCAAGCCATGCATAACCATAATTTCCACTTTAGATACCTTCTGAGGAGATAAATTGGGTAATTCAATAGAACCAAATATGCTATATCATGTGAAATTGAATTAGTTGTGTATTAAAATTAGTCAGGAAGCTGTACCATTAAATAGCACTATTGTGCGCCAAAGTAATAATAATAAAAGGAGTACAGATTATTAATTACTAATAGAACTTAAAGAAATCTCTACAATAGGTTGGATTATCGATCCTGCTTGAACAATATCGGTTAGTAATTTTTATAATTAATAGCTTGTTTATAATCCTTCCATAATATCCTTATCGATATTTTGAAAGTTTACTACTGAGAGAATTACTGTTGTACTACTACATTTCAAAGTTATTATAACAGTAATAAAAGTGATTTATTATTTGCAGAATTAACAAAATTTGTCCGTTAATTGAAAATTGCATTGCAATCCAACTAAATCTTCTTATGCTAGATACCTTTGGTTATTGAAGGCAGGAGTCTTGTTATCACTCGTAAGCAAGACTCTTACAAGTCCACTTGCACTTTTGGCAAACTGGTCATAATTAATTTAAAAATAGCGGAAAAATTTTAAATTATATTACGACAAATCTTCTCAACTGCAAGTATGAAGCATTTAAGTTGTAAAATATAATTAGAATACTGCAAGTGTAAAGATTGAATAGAATACAATTCTAGTAAAAATCATAATTCAGTACAATAATAGCTAGAGATTAATCGTCTAGTGGTCATTATATTCGGCGACTCTTCATATTAAAAAAACCTCATTTCTAAATTAAAATTAACCACTAGTACGTTTAAATTATGTTCCATTCCAGAGACTACTCAAAAGTCTACTTGTTTGATTTTAAAATTTTTCTATTCATTCATACTACATATTTATTTGTATAGAGTGTAACTGTAAGAAATACACACTTTAAGTTTACTATTAGATTAATTAAATAGTGAATGATCTACCTCACGGGATGCTAGAGCCCAAAATGACAGCATATTCCTGTGACTACATCCCTGTGAATCATTACAGTATAGATAATTGATACCTTCGGACTGAGGAGTTGATTTGAATCGACCACACCAGGTTAATTTATCTAGCAGAAATCTAGAGTATGAAAATATGAAGGGAAGAAATTTTAATTAACCTCCTATGATTCGGAAATATTTAGGATAGAATGTAGATGATTTTCTTGAATTTCATTTACACTTGTAATTATTTATGCAAAGAACAGTGATTTTCATACGCATTATGAATGACATCTTTTAATAACTCCTCTAAGATTATGTAATGTAATAGGTGTCTTGACTAAAGGATAGTCAAATAAAATCAGGAATGATTAATCTCCAGCCAGTATAAAGATGATCCACTAACTCACATTTAATTTACTCCTAATATTTTATTATTGTCGACAAATATATTTATAAACAGAATGCCAAATTTAGAATTAATCGATAAGCAGTTTTATCCTTGAACTTTTAGAAATGTGACGATATCAAAATTTAAGCCCATGTTGTTCTGTCAAGATAAATTTTATAGCGGGTATACCCTAATTATGAATGTACAATAATAGCATTTGTATTGATTAAGGTTTACTATATAATTTTTTTTCCTGTTTTATTCACCTAATGTCTTAAATTTATCATCATCTAGTTGATAATTAGGAGCACAAGCTAACGTAAAGTTTAGTGGATAGTATGGTTATTTCATCTAATATATTGATATCATTATTCGTTAGTCTACAATAAACAATAGCTACTTTAGTTAGAATTCAATTGTTAATTTTCTGTTGAACAAGACAATCCAAAAAAAACTAGTGAAAATAATCTAATTGATTTTGATGACAGTGATCTACTTACCCAGTAAAAGTTTGTGATATTACCAAAACATCATCAACAGCTTGTACGTACGAAGAAACAAAGTCATAAACGCCTGACCAAAAAAGAGCCTAAATTATTACAGAGACATGCAATTTAATTTAAAAAAAAGGAGAAGAATTTTTCCTATTCATTTATTTTCGGTAAATGGATGAATATATACGATACAGTAACATAATGATGATAATGTTGGCCGAGATATAAAAATGACCTTCGAAAATGTAAATCAACTTCTTTATTAAAGTCAGTGTAGTGCAACCCCAAATTAGCTTAAGATTAAAATTATGTGATTGTACGAATATGGATACGTTGAACGTTTAATGGTGCAAGTATCTACTCTTAGACGAGATTTACAATGCGTATGGTTCCTTTATTACGTCCAGGAACATACGTATTAGGAGTTGTAGATACGAATAGATTGTTCGAAGTAAATTAGCAATATGAAGGATTCATTATGATACTTTAATTGGAAGCGATGTTTATAGCCAATAATAATTCGCTCGATATTAAATTTAGCTTAATCTTACGACATAAATGCCAAAATATGATTGCCTTGCTAAGCATAAACTTGTAACCAATTATTTATAAATCGTCGATTTTACTATAGTAAGTAAGACAGAAGTAAATTGAAGATAGATAACTCTTGATATTGTTAGAAGAACCAAGTTTATGCTCTAATGTGAGGACTTATAATGCTAGTTCTTGTTTAATATTTTGAAAAGACTTCATCGCAGCCAGTTAAGACGTAAAGGATTGTTATTTTTACATGGTGATGACTGTAAAGATTATTTTGTTTGAGAGAATATATCGTGCCGATAATCAAAATAAAGTCAAAGCCATTATTAACACCGACATTATACCACTGATGTATTAGTACATGGAGTTAAAATAAACGTTACGAAAGTAATAGATATCCTATTCGCCACCTATTAATGATTGTTACGGCGCAATCGATTGATTATCGATGTAGAGCATTGCACTTTAATACTTTTATGTCTGGCTACTTGCTGCAATTACACTATATAGATAAAAGTGAGTAGGATGCCAAGGTACGTAGCGTAAAACTCTATCTTCAAGACATGATCTCGGCAATGTGTGTTAAATTTAATCGATACGATCTAATTGAGATATTAATATTCGAATATAATGACCCCCAGATAGGTTTCAATTAAAACGGGCTATAATGCTTAACAATCAAATTAATGTGGTTTATTAAATCAGTAAATTGTGGATTCATTGCTAGAATACTATCCAGCAACGTATTATTTTCTGGACTAAGGACCTTTAAACACATAATAAGCTGTTAAAACGACAAATTGGATTTTTATGCAGAAAGTCTAATGTAGCACGATCTCGTAAAATATTTCAGAACTAAAAGTTGCATTGATTGCTTAACTGAATGCGTCCAAATCATAGTTGGAAACTAATTAAAACTTTGCTTTTAGGAAGATAAACTTGGCTTTGTTACCGATACATTATTCATGATTCAGGTGTAGTAAATCAACGATAAATAGCATTATATATCGAACAAGTGGCTTGTATTACAGTCTAGTCGATTTTTAACTGTAAGTTGCTGCCTTATTCTATATGCCTATTATTGCTATAAGCATGAAATAAAATAGACTTACCTTATTGGGAGGGACAGGACTGGAAGACTCAATAAGAAATCGACTATACTGAGTAGGATCGACTTCACAAGGTTCACGGTTTACGAAAACTCGACTAAATTCTTGCCATAACGAAGGACAAGTAACGCCAGGACGCAATGTAAAATTCTGCAAAGCAATATATCCATAGCAACGTCCGATAAAAATCTCTTTAATATTGTGAGTTGTGCCTGATGCAGAAGTTGTTAAGTATTGGCACCCTGCAAGAATAAGAATGTAGTAAACAAGTTTCATCTTGAAGTCATTTAAATTTATTGCATGCAATTTTTAGCCACAGCCCCCAAACTTCTTTCTCACTCAAAGCTAAGCCTAAAGAGAATGTAATGAAGTAAGCTACTTGCCAAGTTAGAAAATTGTTCCTTTGTTGACATAATGACGTCAGAATTTATCGCCTTATATCTCTTGCCCGGGGCTTTTTATGGCAAAATTACTATTTAACAGGAAAATGATGCTCCAAAGCTAGGATATCAACTATGGGGACTCTAACGATCAATGGCTGTCTATACAACCAACTTGATTTGATGGTAATAGTGGTTAACGAATAAGGCATTCTTGCACTGGGACTCGAATCTAGTTGTAATTGATTAATCAAGACCAGACTGGAGTCTATTTCCCTAGTAATATACCCTAAGCCATAAATAATTATCTGCCATGATACTTGATGTATACTATACTATAGCTTAAAAATAGCTGAAATTGACTAACTCTACTAGCTAATAAATGAGTCAAATCTTGGCAACTTGAATCTAGGTGATATTGATTAACACGGACTAGATTGGGGTCTATCTACATATTAGTTATATTTTATGAACTCCACCAGCTAAAAGAGTCAATCTAGATAATTGGTGAGACTCAAACCATGTTAGCATTGATTAATACAGATTAGATTGAATTTCAACAACATACTATCTATTCTGATACTTGCTGTATAACCTAAAATAGCTAAAATTTACTTATTCTATGAATTAAAAGTGTAAATTTGGGTAATGAACGAGGCTTGAGCCTAGTTGACATTGACTAATGAAGGCTAGATTGGGAGTCCATCTGCATATTATCTGCGATAATACTAATTGTATAACTAAAAATAGCCAAAATTCCCTCCTTCCGCTAGCTAAAGGAGTAAATTTGGGCAATATTTGAAGTCTTACAAGGGCGTCATGTGGAATTAGATCAATGGAAAATGCACTCTTTCAAAGCGGAAGTTGCAAGTATATTGAATTAAAGTGTTCCGGTTACCTTCGTATCAAGATATTAAATTTTCGATACTAATGGCAATATTTTAGAGTCTGTACTCTAGAGCTAAAGTTAAAATAAACCCATTTAATCACTTCTTACGGCAATAATAGTGCAGAATTGGATGAATAGCACTCCTTTCAGTAGAAGCATACTGATTGATATCGACATTCTTATTTTTATCGCTTTCAAGTCTAATCATAGGCCTAGGGCTTAAGTATACAATTGTAGAAAAGAGCAGATTTGGCCTATTTTTAGTTCTTGTTATCAAATGTAGTACTGATACAGACAAATAGCAAATTCACCAATTCTAGCAGGAATTAAATCGGATCCACGGTATTTTAATTACCATCAACATTACCTCGTTCGTCCTTTTTGATGTTAATGATAATATTTTGGATATCAAAAATACTCTATGCAGCCGAAAGATTACTAATTGCAATTAAAGCTCTCATTTTTACTGACTTTAATAGCAGTCAATCACCATACTTTGAAATCAAGATAGTCTATGGTGGAAAGGGTCTATTTGGCTCATGTTCAAATCTTATTGCAAGTAGTGTACTGGTTAAAATATGTACGGTCTCCAATTCAGTCTCAAGTAATCAATTGTGGATCTATTTTGGCATACCCATAAACGTTAATCACTAGCAAAAACTACTGGTATGAAATCGAGCAAGTGTTGTAAAGAGTCCGGCAAAGTTAGAGTTGTTATGGTAAGCGTTCAGATTTTTGCATGATTGCAATTTAGTTACAAAACATTTACATATCTTCTACTATAGGTACCGTCAAAGTCTTTTTAATAAGAACAATTTAATTGTACGGTACGATACAGAATTTATGCTTTGATCTTAAACCAGCAATCCTTTATTGCAAATCAGCTGCATTGCAATTTGTTGACATTACAGAACATTTCCTATTGGATTGAAGGATTGATTTATTCATAGATTACGATAGTCCATAGCAAACAAATCACCGCATGGTACTATTCTTCACATTTTACTTAGTCATAAAATAGCTTATGAATACGGCATGAAAACTGTCCGTCGAGTAAGATGATAACTCTCAGCGGTATGGCTTTAATGTTGTCGGTTTATCTCCAGAAATTTTTGAAGAAATACATAATTACCTGCTTAAATCACTGAAGCAGGCATAATACTAGATGTGCATGAGTACGATATTACATCAATTTAACATGGCTGTTACAGTGGAAATGTTCCGTGATAGGACATATCGTAATCTGACTATTCAGTATTAGTCAATACATGTCTATATTCGTAAATACTGTTGTCTGCATTAAGGGAGCAGTAGCTAAACTTAATATCTAATTCAGTAAATGATTCGGAGGTTAATTGTATTAACTATGACTCATGAACTATTGAGGAATAGTATATAAATGCAGTATATCGTGTAATAAGAGAATTCTCCAACTTAGTGTTTAACGTAAAATACGAGGCGTTTAAGTCTTTGTGTAGTCTGCTAGTAGGGCAAAAGTGTTTCTGATAGTGCAGATATCGTTCCTTGATACGTGGTTCAAGGAATTGACTTATTGATCGTACATTACGTTATCTTGTTGCAAAGCTGTTTTGTGGCAATGACCAAGGCAAACAACCTATTAAAATAGGCTTGGACTAAATACTGTGACCAGATTAGTAGCAGCTATGTGATAATAGCTTTAGGGTTGCTCAATTTACCTACTTTCTCTTGTTCTACATTATAATATCCACCGAAAATTCTATGGAGATTGAGCTATAATGGTCAACCTCCAATCTAAAGGATATATATTCGATTCAAATTACATTTAATCATGTAAAGAGTTACATTTTAGGATTTCTGATAATTGATTAACCATTGAATTGTTTGGATGATTTTTAAATGGAATTCGATCGAACAGATAAAATAAATTAATGTTATACCCTAATTTCTAAAACTAGTTACTATTCATCTCAGAGTTAACATAAATACCTAGAATTATGCAATTTTATTCCAAACTATATTGAAGTTTTGCCCGATACACTTATAATTAAGATATCCAATGCTGAAAATCATAGTTACAGTCAATTTCATTCGATTTCATACGATGTTACAAGGAATATAATTAATTTTAATTATTCTACTAACTGAAATCATTAGTCAGTGTAAGCTATATCAAAATAATCATAAAAATAGCCAATCTTCCATTTACAATTAGTATGATTTTACTGCATTGCGGTAATAGAAAATTTTACAAAATGTTACTATTATAATTGATAACTAGAGGAAGCCAAATTGATTCTAAATAATCTATACAAGCATTTAGGATTATCTTATAATTTATGCTAATACCCTTGTGATAAAAAATTTAATTCTTCTGCTCGCTTGCTATACCTATTTAATATTACATAATACCACTCTGATTTATTTTAACGAATAAATCTACCTCGTTGGGATGGCAATTTGACGAAAATAAATCATTTTTAATACTAAACCAGATGCCATCTTTCAGTACTAAAATCATATAGTCAAGCAATTTTACGAAGTAGTAGAAAGTTTCTAGGCTTGCATAATAGGACATCAGTAGTAGCAAACACAGCTTCTTAGCATTCTAGAAATCAGTTTTAGTAGCCTCCCTATAAAATAAGACATAGGAAATTTAATTTTAGAAGTTTAATACAGTTATTTTCATGTAGTATATTATTGTTATGAGTTGCATCGATTTATTTCATATTATTTAGTAATTATTAAAATTAGATAGTAATACTAAGATATATTAAAAACTATACAGTAATCATTATAAATAGAACTATTAAATATGATGACAATCAACTAAGCTTGAAAGGTATGAAATTAGAATAATTTAGTCAATATACTAGGAATAAGCGCAATGTAAAGACTTGCAACAGGTTTTTGAATATGTATTTGGGAATCTGTGCTATCAAACTCTCTCTTTATAAGTAACTACAAATATCTGCAATTCTTCTAAATTTAGTCCAACACGTGTAGAAATCAATGGTAGTATTATGGTAGCTTTTATTAATCGATGATTTATAAGTATACCTTGCTTTTGTTTGAGTTTTAGACCTTGTGCGAGACATTAGAATTATAACGATAAGTAATATGAGGATAACAGCACCAGCAGCACCCAATCCGGCCAATGTCACCACTCTAAGTACTCCATGGATGCTTTGACACTGAAAGTGAGTGGGATTTGCAGCGCAGAGGATATCTTGTACAGAGCTTTAAATATATAAATACTTCATATTACCAACAACAGGTTATATATTAGCTACAAATTATCGCAATATAGACTATCTTAAACTGATACTAAATAAATTGAGACGGCTATTCAACTTCAGTTCATCCTATAATGTGGTACCTTGGATTATCGGAACAACTCCAGGCAATATTTCGTTGTTGAATGAGATCTTGTAAAGTTTTGATAGAACCAGCACCGCATCGTTCACTAGGAATAAAATTGAATACAAGCAATTCTCACTAACTTGCTAGTAAAGTTCTCTTAATTGATGATTTGTAGCTAAAATATGGTACATATGTATCCAATGAGCACTAATCTAATGGATAATTATAATCGATGCTAATAAACACGAGACTCCTATTCATATTAACAATAATATGGGGTTATTACCTTTGATTTACTTTCATATCAAGATCATGAACCACTATGATTTCGATTTTATTTACTTTACTAGGTGATAAATTAGGAAGCTCATATCTGGCAAAAAAGCTATCATTTATTTTGATCATTAGTTAACATCAATTACATGGTAATAGTGATAATATACTTAATATCTGAAAAAAGAATGGATAGAAACTGCTATGATCAAAGGTTGAAACAACGCTATCTTTATAAAGATAGTAACTGCAATTGCAATACTTCCAAACGTAGAAAATACGCTGCTTACCTATAGGGAGCAAATGCTGGAATGCGGCTAGAATTGAGTAGAACTCGAACCGTTCCGCTTGAACCTTGAGCAAACTAGATATAAATATAATAATAAAAGTGAGGGCTGGAAATTTATTCTTTGCCAACATGATATGCGAATAAACAGACTTGCTGTTAATAGCAGTTTCGTAAAAATTCTTCGTGTTAAGTATGCACGTATGCTGATATCATATTAAATACATTAATTAATATACCATATTTGAACAATAAATCATAGACACTAGATCATAGGAATAAAATATTTATAATTAGTGACTGTTAAATAATTATTGATTGATGTGTATTACTGCTTACCCAAGTCGACATTTTAGACCAAAAAATTCCAGAATTTTTGTTATTACAATGTTGAGGATCATGGCAGTCATTGTAGTTGATACCAGGCAGGGCTAGTTGCCCGCACCAACTAAGACTATTCACTAAATATCTTGTTAAGTGGAAGATAAAATTCGATAATTAAATTTAGCATGATCAACAATTAAAGCTATTTGAAGAGTATAAATTTCTTATATTAACTCGGCAATGAATATTTTCTGAGTAGCAAACAATTCATGCATATACGTCTTATAAATCAATCATTTCTTGCAGTATAGTTGATTAACCAATTAATTATCAAGCCTAATAATTTTGATTAAGACATTTGAAAACTTCCAGAAATAAGTTAATAAGTCTTATTCATTTATCAATATTAGGCAACATTATTTAAATGACAAAATTAGAGTTTTATAGCACCTTTCTCTAAGTATCAAAAAGACTGTTTATAGATTTTCAAATCTATAATTGAAGTTAAATTTAACTGAGATATATATATGTTACGGTCAATCTCCGGAACCAGCCATTCCCTATGACTGACCGAGCAACTTCGGAAATAGCCGAATTGCTCGGTCATGTCCTAGGAATGGATTTGCCATGATGTACTGTTCACTGTATTTAAGGGATACAGATGTTTGGATTAAGTGATTAATATTTATCGGTGTTTGCTTATTATGCTAACCAAAAAACTATAACGCAATAGTAAGGTATGATATATTCCAATATCCTTATTGATATGTAACTATGTGCTGTGAAATCAAATTGAATCAGATGCAAATAGATTAGTAACTACGCAATAATATACTCAATTTATTTATTCTTATATAGATTTAATTAGATGCAAAAAACTAGATACTATTTTATAAATTAATAGAAACGTGTCGTATATCTGCTAACCCAGGAAAAGTATTTTCCAATGTTTCTAGATTTTTAACAGCTCTGATGTAGAGGTGTGCAAAGCTATAAGTTCCGGACCAAAACACAGACTATATCAGTAGAAAAGCATATTAAAAATTTTCCGTTAGTACGCTGTATTGAATAATCAGGCTAAAAGTGAGGAGAAAATTTTATTACCTATAAGTTAATATAATAGGCCACAAAGTAATGTACTTTTGCCTAAAACTATATTTAAATCGCTCTTGCAGTACATTTCAAATTATATTTTTAATTTGATAAAATTATTCTTTTAAGATATTGAGTTTAGCGATAGGAAAAAGAATTGTTAAAATATAACTAGAATTCACTCAGGTAGCAATGATGCTACGCCTATGACCACTTAAGAGATGAGACTAGCCCTTCTATTAACCTGAAGCAATTTACAAAGTGATATATTGAAAGATTGATTATTCTAGCAATATGTAATAATGAGCCTAGAATCATACCGCATCTTTAGTATAGGCACAGAAACTTCTTTAATAAAGTTATCATATTCACTTGCATTAACGGCACAAGGTTCTTTAAATGCAAACACACGGCTGAATTGATTCCATACGTGAATACAATCAACTTGACGTTGCAATTTATTTACAGCTTGATATTCTGAACAACGGCCAATAAAGATTTCTTGGATGCGAGCCGTTGATCCATGAGCTAAAGACCAATCAATATAAAGTGTAATGATTACGATAATGGATGCGATCAATTTCATCTTGATGCGATTTTATGTCTACTGAGAAGTAGCAAATTGCAGGTTCTTCCTAGCGAATCAAAAAATGAATGATGATGCTGATACCATAGATATCGATTTAGAATGCTTGCTGTGAAGAGTTGTTTCTATATATATGTAAGTGTATACCATCCAAACTAATTATATATTCTATAGCTTTTCATAAAGAAATAGAAGGGAGACATTGTTTTTTTCTCACGTTAGCAAATATTTTAACGTTTAGTCATGATTTACATATTACGAAATGATATCAAGCTGTCAATTATTCGAACTGAAATTATGCTAGCATTCAGGTCAAAGCAGCGTAAGAGATCTTGTGATAACACATAGGAATATCTTTATCAAATACTAATGCACCACAACGAGTTGGTAGCCGATTTTAAAATTTTTCGAGTCTAAAATAAAATTTTAATTTTAGTTTATTTATCATAGGAAAAATAGACTTTGCATTATACCGCTGGATTCATTGAAATAAAAATCACTTGCAAACAGTGGAACTAGTTTTCTACGATTTTAGAAAGAAAAATTGATAAGCCAAGAACTGATTATACCCATACAGTTGAAAATAGCGGTCTGTAAAGTTTATCGGTATATTGACATCACATGCACTTTTAATTTAATTAAGTATAACCTGGATTCAATTTGGCTTAACTTAATTAAAGATTTTTATCTTGAAGCAGTACTTAGACCACTAACTACAGGTTGTGTAAACATTATCAAGCCCAAATATATAAAGGTAATATATTAAGATATACCGAATCGTAAGTACTATATTTACTGCATCAACCACAGCATTATACCGTATGTAGTCGCTAATTATTTGGAGATTCAAAATTCTATACGTCTTATCATAAATAGCGCTTTCAAAATTAAGAGAAATAAATTGCTTTTACGGGTTAAGAAAGAGTAACTATGCTAAAGTATACGTTTAATTTGAGTTAATTAAATAAATTAACCAAAAAATTACATGCTAACTCTTCAATAATTGCTTGTAATGAAATAGTAGCTGATACCCTTTAATTAGAATTATCAATTCTTTAATTCAATTTCAATTCAAGGAGATAAGTCTATTGCTGATAATGCGAGATATGCTGTAAAGTAAAAAGATTTCCTCCATTTCGAGAAATTACTAAAGCGCTATTAAGACTCTGCAATTTTAGAGACAATAGTGTTAAATGCTTATAAATTTCACGTATGTTAATGAAGAAACAATAGTGAACTCTAGTAGAGTCAATTAAAATATGAATAGCTAATTACCGATGTTAAAATACAATATAATAAATAAGTTTTCCAGTAACGGTGTTTACTATCCGTCATCCATACGAACCATAGGTAGACTCCCACGGTAAGTGATTAAAGGTTAAGATTGTTGACAAACTTGTAAATCAGTTCAAGAAATCACGTTTTTATCTAATCATTATCACGCTGAAAATAATTCAATAGATTGCAAAAAAACATTATTCATTATCTTTATTTGCTACGCAAAAATAAACTAGTTTGCAAACATCGCATTGCACCTTAATTACAGATTGTACCATCGATATAGTCTAGTCAATTTAATGGCAACATGATTTACCATCACTAATTACCCCGCAAAAATAAACGATTGAATAATTAAAATTCACGTGCAAAATATATTTGTGCCTTTCTATGAAGTGAAAGCCATCTAAGGCATTAGTATCTTATAGAACTACTAGTAGATAAAATAAAATGCTTAATAATTTTATCATATCCAATTTTATGTTAATCTGTTACTAATGCTCTTATGTAATTATAAGAATATATTTTTTAGAGAATTTTTTATAATGCACACCCTCTCTTAGGTTGCATAGATAGCTGTATTATAAACGTTAATCAATTTTTATATGTCCAAGAGTTGAACCTATCTATTTATTCGAAGTTACTTTATTAGTGATGATAATCGAAGCCAAAATTGACACAGAAGTATCATTTGAAATTTACTTATGCCAGTCTTGGTGTCCATGTTAATTCAAATGTGTTTTACTATCGCCATATCTCTACCTTGTACTTTATTTTTTTAGAATACAAATAAATTAACAATACATACAGCAGTGGAGAATTAATAGCATTAGCTATAATTATTCCATAAATCGGTAGCCAACACATTACTTCTTAGCAAATTAATTAATCAATGATGGTGGTCATCATGAACCTCTAATACTAATCAATAAATAATGTCTTCGATTAAGTAAACAGTCTAATTGGCAGATGATAGGTAGACGCAATCTGTTATGTACAATAGCATCGGTAATATTTGCGTTCTATGATAAATAAGCACCATTGAAACAGTTCTTAATCATTAAAGGGCATGAGATTGATGATGTAAGCAGATTACCTGAGGATAAATGCCCACAGATAGAACAGCTTCGTCATTGAACTCGAAGAAAGCTACTAGGATGACTTAACAATAATTTTTTCAAGTTATGTGACATGAAGAGCTCATTAAAGATTTTATGCAGGCTGAACTTTCTAGTGGCCTATTCCAGGAGAGAATACGACAAAATGAAGCATTACTAATTCTTGATATGAACGAAAGATTTCAAAATATATTGTAATGAAATGAAAAGTGTAGAGATCAAGCTACAAAACTTTAACAAACTTTGATTCTACTTTCGTTGCACTCCGGTCGACTTAACGCTAATACTTTGACACCAAATAAAATTTGGGGAAATAACCGAACAACAATTTATTTCACAACAAAAATGGAGAGAAGTATAGACCGAACAACCTTACAAATACTTAGCTTTAAGTATCATTAAAATAAATGACAGACTTAAAAACTGTCAACGACCAAACAACCTTTCAAAAAGAAGAACGTTTTAACATACGACAATTCGACCCCGAAGGCCTTTTAAATTCAACATGTTCTTCAAATAAAATCTTCTTCTACTCTCTCTCTAAATTTTCTAATTGCACTATCATTTATAGGCTTCGTAGAGCCGTCTGAGGTATTAAAAACTAAACATTTGCTAACCAATTCGCACCAATCGCTCTTAAGATCCGTTTTAGAAAACTACTTTGCATCATTTAAGAAAACAAAAATCATTCAAAGTTCAGACACAATTTACCCTACGATTCCCTTACAAAACACTATAAAAGTAACAAGCTAACTATAAAAATACATCAAACTTCATTTCTAACATAATTTCTATCATTAATACACTATAAAAGTCTAAAAATCAACCTTTAAACATCAAAATTTAGTCATAAAAACAACATTCTAACTACCTAACAATCAACACAACCTCTGCCAATTTCCATCTTATTTTCTATTTTCCTCACTAAATCTCCTAATGTGACTTCAAGTCACGTCATAAAATTCCAAAGTTTCAAATTCATAACAAAAAGTCCAAATCTCAAAAATCAACTCTTACGATATTTTTCACAAACAAAAATCCAAAAATTAAAACAGAAAAATTATAATTCAGACATAAATTAAAAATAAACCCGACCGGTTCCAAAACAGGAAAATTATATCGGACACAAACCCGACCGGTCCCAGAATCCGAAAACTATATCGGACACAAATCCGGAAAAATTCGGTTTTATAAAGATCACAGTAATCGCTTATCAAAAATTTATATGACTATTACAACTACTTTTCTGACATTAGTATCGCTTAGTATTCGCGAGTATTGACAGTTGATGTTTTAGCGTCAGATTGTACTGTAACTGTACAAGTATAGACTACATTACAGTACTTTATCGTCATCTCATGTTATAAATCCCCTTTCTCTAAGGATAGGGTTTTGCTACTAAGTCAAATTTCTTTACAATTTGAATAGACGATGAAACGCCCTTTCTTTAGATTAGGCATTTGCTCTATAGGGCTACTTCTATAGTAATCTATATAATACCTTGCAAAATAATGAAGATGAAAAGATGGCGATATGATGATTTGGCAGGGTAAAACTTAAAGGCACTATCACTTTGTAGGTATTTTCTATAGTAAAATAATACTAATTACATACTAAAAACTACAAAGGACTCTACTTTTAGTCCTTTTACTACATATATCAGGAGCTCTAGATATTAAGTTATACTGTATTTCTAGGGAAGTACATTATGGTGCCATTTAAATTTTAATTATTACCGGCCGGTACCATGATTACGTAATTTTAAATTTTTTGAAGTACAATTTTTTCCTTAAAATTATTTCTCACCTCATTGTTCTTAAGGTCATTAGTAGATATGATGCAATCGATTTGAATTAGGTCGAGGCGGTTGATGCGAAGTAATTTATGTACTGTTACGGTGTTGCCTTATCATTAGGATAGTTTAAAAAGTACAGTAGTAGCTAGTATGGAGAATATCCATATTTGTAGTGCTAGGTAAGATAAGTAATGCCTTAACGTGGATGTTGTTTGTGATAGTTCATTACATATTTGATATTGATTGTTATTGTGTGATAGATAGCAATCAGTAAGATGATTCAAGTTCTAGTTGATGATAGTTGAATTGGACAACCTACGAGCTTAGATTAAGATTAAGTATGAGTAAGAGATTCAAAATATTTACTGATAGAAAAGCTACGTAAGGAACATCTCAGTTCGAGATATTTCTCCTAGTAAGGCATAATAATAATACTGCTGCTTTTTACAAACTAGACGGCTCCTATATAAACGGGAACATTTGAGTTGAGTGGGGCGGTAAAAAGTTGTAGATGTATCTTAGCTAATAAAAGTTTTATCTTTACAGTATTTTGCTGTGTGTATTTAACATTAAGTAAAAGGGCGTTTAAGTCAGTAGCTACTTATAGACTTTTACTGTACGTTACCTTGTTGCAGAAGTGAAATTGTGACATGTACATATCTAAATTATTCTATTGATTCTAGTCCAGGCTAACATGTTATACGCGAAGTCGCTTATACGTAATTATATGTCGTAATTGCATAACTTAGAGTTTTTATGAGGTACAACTTGACCTTAGAATTATTCATCACCGTATTTATTCTTAAGATTATTAACAAATGTGATACAATCGATTTGAATTAGGTCGAGATGGTTAATGTGCAATAATTTACGTACATATCTAAATTACTGTAATGATTCTAGCCAAGCTAGGATATTATATGCAAAGTACCGGTAGCATATATACAATTATAGAGTAAACGCGTATCTTAGGATTACTTTTTGACTTCATAATACGATCCAGCGCAATCATCATGAACACTAGGAGACATGCAAATATAGTGTGCGTTTAAACTGCCTGTTATGCTGCAGATGTTAATCAGGTACTTTATTTTTAAGTCTATGAAATCATTCTGCAGCTCTCATGTTACGATGGTAGTGAATAGGTTCTATAACCCCTTCGGTTTGCAATTACGAACTCGGAAATTAGAGTTATTAGAGTTGAGCAAATTCCTAACGTGACTCAGCACTACCGCACCTCATTTACTACTGTAATTAGCTGGAACTACTACAAAGACCCATGAATATATTAGTCCTGTACATTACGGTCCTTCAATGATTCTTTTTCTAGAATCAGAAGTTAGTCAGGTGATACTTGGTAACAATACACGAATATACTTAAAGTATACCTTCACGGACACTTAACTACTGTACATAGGCTTCTGAAGTAATCTTTATGTAAATAAGAGAACTATCGTAACAAAATAATGCCTCTACCCCCAAAAATCACTACTTGCAGGTTTGCAAGTGAATTTCCTTCTATAAAGTCTAGATAATTAATATATAATTATCTAAGTGTTGAGGAGAACTAGGCGTAACATAACTACTATTAGATAAGGTTAAAGAAATTTAGCTAAAACAAGATTAGCTATAATGTTATTCATATTCGTGTAGATAGCTACTTACATACATCATGTCATCGAAATTATATTAATGCTGTTTATGTGTAGCTAAACTATAAGTTAGATGGTACTTTAATTGCATTGGAGAATCATAGCTCAGTTTGAGTATAGACTTGCGATTGGAGTATTCTACTGATGACCGGGTTTGTTGGTAATCAGAGTAATATAGTAGGGTAGATGCTGATAACATTACTTTGGGCAATAAACACCTTACTTTGCTCAAACCCTATTCCGATATAACTAAAATACTAGCACTTGAATTTTAGACAATAAATGAATGTTAGTAATTTATGAAGAGTTAACCTCCGATCTTATAGCAGCTTTGAGTGGATCAGGATTAATTATAACACCTATCAATCAAGAAAGTATGCTTTTAACGTAAATTATTTATTAAGGCAAGTACAATAACCATATATGCGCAGACATGCTGAAAGTAACTGGCTTTCCAAATAAAAAAGTTGCAAACTAAGGATACAACGGCTACTCCGGTGAAATATAATAACACGATAAAGGCATCGAAATATTCTTAACTAGGCAACCCATATTATCCTGAAATGTGTATGAAACTGTAATCTACATCTATGCAGGCTTTTCACTTATGTTAACTCAAGTCGTAGTTTCTTGTATGAATACGGCAGATCATCAATCAATAGACATTGATAGATAACATCTGTAGTTATATGAGGTATGAAATAAGGTAAAACTGACAGATACATTCAGTGATCACTTATTGTTAAGCACCGTACATGTATATAGAGGTCTAAATAATGCAAAGATATACTTATGCTTAGAAGCTTGCTATAAATTTTAAGAAATGGAAAATTGATTCCTGGATTAGCCAGTAAACGAAATAACTTAATCTTATTAAGCTTTAACGTTTTGTGCCATCTTTAAATATCTTGTTGCCCTCCCTCTTTCACACAATAGAGCAATAATAAAACCTGCTAAGATAAATATAAGCACTCCACCGGATGCTAGAGCTGCCAAAAGAACGATCCTAGAAACTCCATGAATACTTCGACATCGGATAGTATCGGGCGTAGAGGTACAGAGATGGTGATATATAGGGCTACAAACATTTGAAAGAAATTAGTAAAAGACATTAGCTATTCATTTTCACCTAAATTAGTCATAAAGTGAAACGTGTTATCGTGTAATAGTTATCCTGGTTTCCTCTTTAGACTATCACAAACTATTCTTTTTGATAAGTAAGGTAAAAATTAAAACGAAATGTAAATATAATAATTAACCCTGGATTATCAGCACAGGTCCAAGCGAAGTTGTACTGTTCTATCAGACTCTGCAATTCTTTTATTGAACCTGAACCACACCTCTCCCTGACGTTTTATAATAATATATGATTAGTCAGTTTATGAGTATGAAAAGAAAAATTAGTTTTCATCCAGAACTTCCCAAAAATATAAAACAGATGTATTTCTCTTACTTTGGATTATCTTTACCGTCGATGCCATGAACAACAATAATCTCTATTTTATTTACTTTATCATGTGGGAGATTGGGCAATTCAAATTTGGCGAAGAAGCTTCATAATACAAGAATGTAATAGAAATGAAACTTTGATACCATTATGCGCTTATCAACTAAATCCACGAAAATAGAAATTGTAAAATAATCGCTCTTGAAATATAAATTACCTATCTGATGCGAAAGCTGGATCACGGCCTGCATTTAGTATCACTTGAACAGACCCACTGGCACTTTTAGCAAACTTATTATTGGATTAATTAATAGACAAATTAAATTAGTAATTGTCTAATACTACATTAGAAATGATTTAACAGGTGTAATCTCTGATCTTACTGCCATATAATTTCCAAGATAAAGAACCAAAATGAAATATTTTTACTAAAGTATTCTTTTAAATATATACTCGTACACCTATATATGATCTGATTAAAATCCGATCCCTGCCATTATGTGTAATAGCTGGCTATCGTTGGCTGAAATATATAAATATATATATGCATAATATGGACAGTCTAAGTACGGAATGAAGGCACTTATCATTCATTAATAGTACGGACACTAATTATAACTATCTATTAACATAACGACTAAAGGTGCTATTTTAGATTTTAAGTTAAAGATTAAAACAGATTGTAACTATTTTTTTTAATTAAATTAATGCGTATGCCGCAAACAGAAGACTTAAATTTGTTATGCAGAACTTTACAAAAGAGCCGCATGTGGTTACAGTTTTACGTACAATGAAAATTAACAGAATACAACATGGAAAAATACAGTTTTGTCTAAGCTGACGTTTTATAAATGATACGTAAGTATTATACTAAATTGCAAAACAATTACCAATCATAAAAGAAAAAAAATTATAGGTAATAACACACAAGCAAACTACTTTTATAGTTGTGAATATATCCCTACCCAAGTCGACATTTTTGCCCAGAAATCGTATGTATTATTCTTATTACATCCTTGTGGATCTGAGCAAGTTTCATAGTTGATGCCAGGAGATTTTTCTTGGCCACACCATGTTAAGCTATTGACTAAATATCTATGATTTACCAGAAAACAATAATTATGATTCGATTTCGTCAAGTAACAAATTTAATTGTTTGTTTCGGCGTAATTTTTAAGTATAAATTCGCCTTTAAATACGGATTTAATCAAATAAGCGTCATGATCTCATTATAATTGAAAATTTTACACGTATCGACTAAAATTTAGCTCACCAAAGAAACTAGTTGTAGCTCTTCTATATAAATGATTATGCCAGCCACTTACCCCGGTAAAACATCCTCGAGTGTATATAAATTTCCAACAGTTTTTACGTAACTATGTGTGAAATCATATGTTCCGGACCAGAATACTGACTTTACGATTTAAAATAAAATGGAAAAAGATTCAAGTGTTGAATATCATAATTGTTTGCAAATACCAGAATATAGCCAATCTTATTAATAGCCCAAGAACTGCATGTTTAATAATGCACTTGGGTAAAGGAAAGATGTCAGTATTTATGTTTGCATATATATAAGGGAAACTAAATGTCTGCACATCTCTGCTAGTCTATTACCCATACATGCATACCTATAACATGATATAATTCCTAGATAGCTAAAAGTACGTTATTTTAACCGATATCATTTTCCTATTAATATTTTTACGTATCTTTTTGGATTATATTAATAACAATGTCGATAACTATCATTGACCTCTTCACTGTTTGATTAGCTGTATAAAATAAGTAAACGCTGTTTGATTAGCTGTAACATATACTTAAGCTATCGTTCATTTATGATTTCATCATATCGATTTTAGCGAGAGATGAAGACGATATAGTGCATATAAAAGTAATCAAAACACTTAGTACTAGTATTAATCGATAGCTACGATTTCTGATGAACTGTGTAAATTACTTAGACTATCATCTATTTTTGATCTTATTATTTTATCTAATTTTTTGGCGAAAGGTGAGCATGATACGTAGCACATAAAAGTAATAAAGCAGTAATGTTAATTAATAGCTATTTAATGAAAAGGAATACTGAATGTATCATTCATTTTTGGTTTTATCACTTTATCTAAATTTAAGCGAAGGATAAAGACGAAGTAGCGCGTATAAAGCAATCAAGTTATTCGCTATTAAGCATTAGCTGATATGAGTATCTTACGCCATCTTGAGGAATTGGCACAGATGATTTCTCTATGAATTTATCATAGCCAGCCGTTTGTACTTTGCAAGGATCTAAATTAGCGAAAACGCTAGAAAATGTCATCCATAATTCATGGCAATCGACCTCATGCTCCATAGTATGTGATGCTTGATAATCTGAACAGCGTCCAATGAAGATTTGATCAATCCTAGGTGTTGTACCAGCATCATCACTTAGTCCATAAAATGGATATCGATAATGGGACAGTCCAACTTGGCTATAGGCAAAAATCAAGCAGATATAGAGAAGAATTTTCATCTTGATTCAATAAAAAGACTAATTGTGTTTAGCAAGATGTCTTTGGTAGATAGCAGGCCGTGAAAGTGATGAATTGTAAACTCAAAATTCTGCTTTTATAGTATGCTTTTGCATTTGCATAATAAATAAGAGGAGCCTTTATAAAAAGTATAATAGTCCAGATGTATAAACTAATTAGTTGAAATAATGGTTTTTAACTCGTCGGATTTATTGGCTAACGCTAAAATATATTAAAACACTACCGATATTTAATTTAAATCGCTTTTAGGGTTAATTAAATAATTGATTTCACACCATGCCCTAGGGCTTAATTTTATTAAACTTGATAAATTGATTTTTTTGCTATTTCCATTAATTATAATCGAACAATTGCTATTGTTATTCTTGATAGGGTAGCGATGGCCGTGAAAATTTTGCTAAGAAAAAATTTAGCTACACTACAATATTGAGGGATCATTCCAGCTTCAATGCAATAGTATATGATAAGGATTAACCTATGATCTCCTCTCCGTTCACAAATTGTCAGCTATATCAATACATATTCGTTGCTAAAGTTTAATATTTGAATCCATTAGTCTTCGATGATTCAGCTCTGCATGAGATATTACTTTTTATCAGGTGAGAATTTATATCGATTTGAATTGGATCACGAGATGAATGGTCTCGCAGTAATTCATATAACTTATAAAAAATTATTATACTATAAAGAATATGGTGTATTAAAAGATGAGAATTTTAGATTACGATTTTAAGGTCTTTTTGGAATCTTAAGTAAAACTTGCTTTGATAAGATTGTAGTTAGATCTTCTGTATGCATTTAGAATAGTAATTATTCCAAGAGTCAAGATAATCTCCGTCCCTTTTTTGTAAATTTTTGTTTTTTTAGATTACTCAACCTTGGTTGCATTTAGATAAATAATTAATTCGCTGAGTAAAGGAAAGCAACTAAGCGATTTATTTCGTTAGTAGGATTGATAAAATGAATTTGTCAGTAGACGCTAGCGTTAGGCGCTCCAAATTCTCATAAATTAGCCAATTTTAATCTATACTATCAGAGATATTAGAAAACTTTTAATACTTTTCAGCCATAGTGTATCGATGAGTGGACTAATCCTATATTGTAAAGGCTTGAGCTTAGCATGCTGTTTTGCAAGGTTTGCGTATTTGCAATTTTGTGGCATTTTATGAAGAACTACCGTATTATAGCGTCACTTGTATATTACTGTAGTTAGCTCAATGGCCTACTTTTAAGTTACCTAACTGTAATGATATTCCCCAACAGATATCTATTAGAAATAATTACTTATTGACTTTAGCTAGATGAACAATTACATTTATAATAATAGAGGTTAACAGCTGCCATAGGTAAACTGTGAACTTATTCAGAACAATTACAATTATAATTGTGATTGAGGGTTCGATATCTCGGAGGATTGAGATTTAGTTGCCATTTACAATAAGTACACCAAAAGTTGTATAAAAGTTATACTTTATTTTAAGTAGTAAAGTAAGTACAGCGAGGTAGTTACGGTAGACCAGCGTGCAAGCTGCCGTGAGTAACGTGTGAAGATTAAGCAGGAAACGAACGATTTCTGAGGTGGAAAACGGCGGTATTTATAGTTTAAAGATAGAGCACATGCAGAGAATAGGATTGTAGAATTAGATACAACATATACCCTAACAGGTTACAACATAGCTGATGATTGTAGCAAACAGCGAGTAATATAATAACTAAATACAGTAGCCTATATATGAATGTGAAGTAAGCGGACTGTAGATATGTTTAAATATAAGAGCAATACAACATATCTATATTTAAGAGTAGGATATAGTTACAGTATATTCTAAATACACTAAAATAATAATAGAGGCTAACAGCTGCCATAGATAAACTGCGAACTTATTTAGAGAAAGGCATGGGACAGTTGGTAGTGCAGCTTAAGTAATAGCTTACTATATCTTACTAACAGCGATTAATAGCTGCCATACATAAACCGTATACTTATGTAGAGAAAGGTATAGGACAGCTGATAGTGTTGCTTAACTAATAGCTTTCTATACCTTATTAATGTTTTTAAGAAAGCTTTAAAATTATACTGGGTCAAGGTTAGTTCATTTTTAAACAGGATATCACAGACCTTTTAATATCGAGTAACCAATATACAAACGTGTATCTCCTATCTTAAATTCATTCTCTTAGTTTTGGCTAGCATATCATTCAATCGAAGGATAAATATCCTTTATTCTGTGCTTATTTTTTTCTAACCTTTTCTGTAAACAAAGATGCAAAATTACTGGTTAATTATTTTGGGCATTCTAATTTCATCTCTCCTGCATCTACTAAGCGTTGGAAGACATAGCGTCTGTTCATGATGATCGAAATAGAGTGACTTTGTGTACAAAACTACTGATCATTTTATTTATGGTAGTTAGATTCCATTTTTCGTACGTATACTAAACATTAAAAGATACAAACTTCTATTCAAGGCGATCGCATTTTATTTAACTCTATTTCTCAACTTCTGTTACAGTGACTATCTTCTATGCTTAATTCATGTAATAAGATCATTATTATTTGAGACATGAAACACTCTATTTAAACTGAATCATTGCTAACCTTACATTAAATAGGATTCCTTTTTTACACCACGCTAATTAAACATAAAAGAATACATATAACCAAAGGAATAGAATCAGTAAGCCATTACCTATTGTTTATGCTAATTATTCAGCTCTTCAATAACTATTGGAATGATTAGTAATACTATTGCTAATTAATTACGTCGTATTAAATGCCTTGCCAAGACAATAAATTGAAATCAGTGGGTACAGAAAAGATAACTCTGTCTAGATGATTTTCCAGTAATTCTATAAATGTGACGAGCATCTGTAAAATATTGATGACCTGCATTAATTTAAAATTAATTTGTGCTATTATTTCATATTTCCATTATCTACTGCATTATTTAGTAACTAATTAACGCTAAATAACAATTTAGACAAATCGATAGTTACGATAAATCTCTTGATTAGATACAATATGGCTTTGTCTTATTGATTTAACTTTAGGAAACTATAATAAATGGGCAGTCAAGAAGTCTGATTGTTCAAATTTATAAATTGATGCCAATTCCTTATACTGCAATAGAATTAGAATGATTGTTTAGAATCGTTTAAAATCAACTATTGCATGAAACGGTATTTAATTCGATACTTGGGGCTTAAGCTACATTAGAAACAACATAAAACGCTTTTTGCGAGATATTTTATTCCATTATATTGTGGAAATGATGCCACCCAGCATTATGTTATTTAATTTAATGGAATGGTTGTCCAAAACAGTTCAAATCAATAATTGAATGAAATCTAATTTCATATCTTGTACTTAAGCTAAAGTAGTACCAACATAAGACGCCTTTTCAATATGCACTTATTTCAAATCGATAAATTTATACCACAATTCTATACTTTAGTTGAATTAGAATATTCGTTCAGAAAAATTAAAACCAACATTTATATAGAACTTTTTTTAATTTGATACTTGGGAGCTTAAGCTACTTTAGCACCAACATAAATAGCTTTTTCCGAGACATTTTATTCCACTTCATTGAGGAAGCGGGGCTATCAAGCATCATGCTACTTAATTTAATGGAATGGTCGCTCAAAATAGTTCAAATCAACAATTTAATGGAATTCAATGCGATACCTGGTACTTAAGCTACTGAGTAGCAACATAAAACACCTTTCCAATATACCATCTTTTCGAATGGATAGATTCATGATATCGTTCTATACTTCAGTTGAATTAGAATAATTGTTCAAAACAGTTAAAATCATCTATTGCATAAAATTGTATTTCATTCGATGCCTGAAGCTTAAGCTACATTAGTACCGACATAAAATGTTTTTTTTGAGACAAACAATTCTATTATATTAAGAAAGTGATGCTAACAAGCACCAAGCTATTTAATTCGATTGGATGCTTGTCTAAAATAGTTCAAATCAGCGATTGAATGAAATCTAATTTGATTCCTGGTGCTAAGCTACAGTAGTACTAACATAAATCGCCTTTCCAATATCCAATTATTTTGAATTTATAGATTTATGCTACCTTTCTAGACTTAAGTTGAACTAGAATAATTGGTCAGAATAATAAAAATCAGCTATTTCACGAAATTATACTTAATTCGATACCTGAGGCTTAAGCTACATCAGTACCAATATAGAACATTTCCCCAAGACATCCTATTCTGCTACGTATAGGAATTGATGTTCCTAGCACTATGCAACTTAATTCTATTTAAAATTGATAGACTCATGCCACCATTCTATACTGCAATTGAATTAGAACGATTGTTTAAACGATTAAAATCAACTATTGCATAAAACAGTGTTTAACTCGATAACTGGGGATTAAGCTGCATAAGTATCGATATAAAACACATTTCCAGAGACATTCTATTCTGCTATGTTGAGGAAATGATATTATCCCATGCTACTCAATCATATTTAGGATTGATAGATTTATGATACTATTCTATATTTCAGTCGAATTAGAATGATTGTTTAGAGCAGTTAAAATCAATTATGGCGTGAAATGGCATTTCATTTGATGCCTGGGGCTTAAGCTACATTAGTACCAAGGTAAATCGCTTTTTCAGACGTTCTATTTTGCTAGGTTGAAGAATGGACGATAGCACCATGCTACTTAATTAAATAGAATGGTTGTCTAAAATAGTTAAAGTCAACTATGGAATGAAATAAATTTTTTTTGCAATAGTTGAATTTAAACCACACGGTGCTGATTAATCATAAATTCTAATTCAGCTGCATTATAGAATGGTATCACGAATCTATCAATTCGAAATAGTCGGATATTGAAAGGCGTTTTTATGTCGATACTACGTAGCTTAAATTACATTGATAAATTATTTTTCATAAGATTTATAGCAATTTTGTTTTCGCTAACTTATTAGCAGCTATTTCTAATCCTTCACCTT